GCTAACCTAAGCTAACCTTTCATCATGCTAACCTAAGCTAACCTTTCATCATGCTAATTGCTAACATATCTGCATGTTTTCTTACTGAAACCCTGCCATAAACATAAGAAAATGCACAATCCACAGCTATTTTTTTGTTGTACAACTGTGATTTAAAAGTGTGTTTCTATGAATCACCTCCCCATTCTGCACAGATATGTGCCAGTCTACTAAAGAAAATGACCRTCCCACTAGATGTCGGTGAAGTGCTGACTTGTCTCTTACCTGGATGTCTCTGGTAAACAGAGATCATCTTGTGTTTTATATTTAGTTTCTGCTAAGTTTGTTTGATCATATGTGCTGTTGAACTTGTGGAACTAAATAAGTAAACTAGTGCTTTAGAAATTGTGTAACTAAAATTTGATTTAGCACTGCCCACCACTGATAAATGCTTTTCTTGTCTTCAGTAAAGTATAAAATGACTTCATCAAACTCAGATCTGAGCCCCTGCTCTGTGTAACAAAGTTCTTTAGTTTACAATAAAAGAACAAACCTCCCGACACATTTCACAGTTTGTCTTGTAACGGTCTGCAGTGATGCTGCAGCTGAATGCTCCTCTTCCTCCTCACTCTGGACTGTAGTCAGTGTTTTCACTGTGAGGACGCTGCAGTGTGCAGGGCTGTGGACATGTGTAAAAGGCACAGCTGTGTGTGTGACAGTGACAGCACACACACACACACACACACAGAGGAGAGGATGGGGTTGATGTGTAACAGGGACATGTCTGTTGGACTTAATGAAAATAAATCAACATTTATTGGTCAAATAAATGATTCTGTGTTTTACAGGACGAGTGGAAACACTATCAGCAGCTAATGCTATATTTATTAGCTCTAGAGCTAATGCTACAGAAGAGCATTGCATTCACCAAATAAAAAAATTAGGACTCCTGATCTCATAATTACGAGAAAAGATCTCATAATTATGAGGTAAGAGGTAATAATTATGAGGTAAGAGGTCATAATTACAAGATCAGGATCTCATAATTATGACATCAGGAGTCAAATATTTTTTATTAGGTGAATGCAATGCTCTTCTGTACTAATGCCATATATTACTGTATGTGTATTATTGTATCTTGCTATCAGTATTAGCTCAGGAGCTAGTTTTGTATTAGTTAGCTTTAGAGCTAACTCTGTACTTTGCCATATTAGCTCAGGAGCTAGTTTTATATTAGTTAGCTTTAGAGCTAACTCTGTACTTTGCCATATTAGCTCAGTAGCTAGTTTTATATTAGTTAGCTTTAGAGATAACTGTAGTTTGCCATATTAGCTCAGGAGCTAGTTTTATATTAGTTAGCTATAGAGCTAACACTGTAATTTGCCATATTAGCTCAGGAGCTTGTTTTATATTAGTTAGCTTTAGAGCTAACTGTAGTTTGCCATATTAGCTCAGGAGCTAGTTTTATATTAGTTAGCTATAGAGCTAACACTGTAATTTGCCATATTAGCTCAGTAGCTAGTTTTATATTAGTTAGCTTTAGAGCTAACTGTAGTTTGCCATATTAGCTCAGGAGCTAGTTTTATATTAGTTAGCTATAGAGCTAACTGTAGT